GTGATATTTCTCTTAGTTTAAGAATAAAGATAAAGCAAAGTAATATGATAAAGAGCTTTTTGAGATTTGCTTTGAGGAGTGATTTTTCTAGAGATTCAATTACTGAAGAAGATGGAGTGGACTTCTTTATATAGGCACTAAGATCCAAGAAGTCTTGTTACGTTGAAGGCTGTGCAGAAAAGCCTAGAGCCTTTTGTCTTCACATTGGAGGCTGTGCTGAAACAGGCCTGATGCTTTTTGTCTTCACTTGCAGAATACTTTCCTCAGAATGGAATGCACAGATAAAACCTTTTTGTCTGTGTCCTTGTGTCTAGCACAAAATAGGAAAGAGCTGTTGAGAAGGACCAACGTACATATTTAAATCTTCTTCAAAGTGAGTTCAGCTTTCAACATAAGAATCTGAATCTTCAGAGTCTTCTGATCAAGGATCATCTGGATCTTCAGAGTCTTGAATGTTCTTCAGATTGAGCTGAAACAGAGTATGTGCAGCTAGTGTGCTTGAGCGTGTAAATCCTTCAGAGCAGAGTCTCTATGCTTTAGAGGCTCCTTCTTCAGAATCTTCAAGAGACAGTAGTCAGATTCTTCTGGGAGCAAAGTTCAGATCTTCACTTAAGATGCTCTTGAACTTATGAAGTCTTTCATACAAACAATGTTCAGATGCAATTTTGCTTTCTTAAGATAATTTACTTTAGTGCCTGTAGCAAACAATCTAGAACACGTTTAGAGTATATAATTCTTGAATACAAAATTCATAATTGTTATCATCAAAACATAGAGATAAAACTAAGACACAATCTGTGCTTTTACACATATCCATCTCTGATCCATCATCTACGTCTTCGTCCAACTTAACTTTCATACTTAGTTTTCTCCAATGAACATGCACAACATCTATTGGTATCGGTATACCATCAATTCTATATCCTGTCAACTCACAAGCACAAGGTAATCTGTAGGTTGTTCTAAGAGTACAACAACATATTTCCTTGTTAGTTCTAACATAATCAACTCGTTTTAACTCTTCAGCAATGCGTCTCAATGCATCTCGAGACACTGAACCACGTAAATTATTGTAAAATAGACTTACGTGGGCGTGCTCAACTTCACAAAAACTCTTTTGAAAAGAAGCTCTAATATTGCCCAATTGTAACTTTAAGTTTTCATTCATAGCCTCCCAACATTTGACCATGTCACCAATATTGTTCCCCAACATTTGCTTTAACTTCTAATGAGTAGACTCAACCCTAAAATTAATATATATTAAAAATATTTTTAAAAAAATTCAAAAAAAAATATACAATTTAGAAATACTAAAAATAAATACATACCGATTAGTCGTGGTGTTACCCAAATGTAGCACTCGATTAATCCATGCTTCAACAAATCTTTATCTATGTGGTGTCAACCATGTGTCCTTCACATAATCAATAAATTCATTACAATCAACACACGTCTGCTCAAGTTGGTTCAACCTTTGATCATACTCAACCTCATCACTAGCTCATACAACATCCGTCCATAATTCGTCAATTTTCTTTTGCATGTCACTAGCCACGTATTGTTTCCGTTTTGTACCAACATTCTTGTTAATATGAAATCGACATAGCATATTGATCGACCTTGGAAACACAATTTCAATGGCTTTCATCAAAGCAAGATCTCTATCTGTCAAAATCACTTGTGAACACAACTCTTTCTTCACAAACAATTGTTTAAGTTTATCTAGCACCCAACAAAAAGTCTCAGTCTGCTCAGACTCAATATAGGCAAATGCGACAGCAAAAGTCAACTCGGTTGATGTCATGCCAACAATTTCAAACAGAGGTTGCCTATATTTGTTTGTCTTGTAAGTGTTGTTCATAACTAACACAATAGGAAAAATATTCAACAACTTAACTGAATCTAGATGAGCCCAAAATATATCTCTAATAACTTTAGAGTCATCTCTTTTTCTACTCCAATAAACATAACCTGCTTCCTCAATAAGTTTAAACAAATGTTGTATCTCACTTCTAGGACCTCTTATATTTTTTTTCTATCATACTCTTCTTCTTGTATATTTGCATGATCCGAGTGACATTATCTGGATCTTGCTCTTGCAATGAAAGCAATATATGTCTAGGTGGAACCTTTCTCTTTGTCAAATCAACAACATGTTGCTTCTGATCCGCTGTCAACCTACGAACAAATGCGTGACCTTCTAATCTATCAGGTAAATCTTGACTGTTTTGTTACTGGGGGCATGCACTTCAACAGATACGTGGATCACCATCAGACGCGGTCATTTGACAAAATAGCGATATACTCTTGATGGTTGACCTGTAGATCGCGTATATCTACTCCTCATCGTCCCAAGCGCGTCATGTGGCAGTTCGGGTATACACATACCATCTCCAGACACCCTGTTGTCTCTGCTCCTTCTGCCTTATCTCGTAGACAGATAGAGGAGATGTTTGTTGATTATGAGAGTCATCTGATATCGGAGGAGGCAAGGGCTATCATAGAACCGAACGACTAGAGCTACGTCGAGGGGTACCTCACATGATTCTTTAGGGTGTCACATTCATACATGGTGCAGACTGCTCTAGGAGATTCGTCGAGACTAACTCATCAAGAGATACTAAAGGAGGAGCAGGCTCAGGTAGATCCTACTGATGATGTCTTGCCTAGGTGTCGTCGCATAATGGAGATTGCGCGGGCAAACAGACATTAACGAGCGCATCTTCCTTGATGGGTCTACTGTCATGCGAGTCCTAGATGCCATCATGATGGAGGCACATGGGACACTATTGTACCGGAGACATCGCGGGAGGATGGTGGAAATTGATGGCCACAGAGACAGAGTAAGCGGAAGAGGTAAAGGAGATGTTGTCAGGCACACAAAATAGTAGTTGTTATTATTTTATTGTATTACTATACTCTCTACTTTATTTTTACGATTTTATTACATTTAGATCTCGATTATACGACATTTTTTACATATATTACTATTTTATTTTCGGCACATCCAGTATTAGTCTTTTATTATTTTGTACATTTATTTTTTTTATTTTGGACTGTGCATCATACTTCATCTGAAAACAAATACACAACTTATAGTGAAAAATACATGTTCTGATACACCTCAGAGAAGTATTTCTGAAATATTGTCGGAGATGCATCTCCAAAACAATTCAAATGTAAATGATTTATGTGTGACATATTTTAAATGTTTAAAATAATTTCGGTATGTCAACGTTTATTCAAAAATAAATACGTCTAAGATTATATTTTCAAAACCAGAAAGCATATGTGAAAATTCACATGGTGCTTAGAAATATCTAAAGTGAAATAAAAAATTCTTTAAATTCTCTTTAAAGGTTGTTGGGAAATTCTAAAAGTTGATCTCCTCAAGTTTGTTAATGAATCATGTAGGTGATAAAGGAGATGCTACCCGTTGTAAAATAAAAAGTAAAATAAAATAAAATAAAAAAGACGCTACCCCTTTCTTTCTTCCTCATCTTTCTTTAATTTTCTCCATCCTCTTAAATCAATTTCAACAATATACATAAAATTAAAATTCATGCAACTTGTTGGATTTTATTTAATTTTAAGGGTTTTACCTTTGCTGATTTTGGATATAATTTATTGTTGTTCTTCAAAACAATTTTTAAGGGCTTTAGAAACAACTTTTAGAGGTTTCACCTGTTATAGTTTTCATGGTTTGAATATTCCTATTGATATAGAATTATAATGATCATATTGTCACTTAGTGAAATCTTTTGACAAGCAAATAAAATAGGAAACTTCTTTTTTTCTAAATACAGAGAAAACAAACTCTTTGTTTTTGTTAAATTTCTCTAATAAAAGGAATTATATTCAAGAAACTGTCTAATTCAAACATTGGTTTATCACATTGTAAAAGATTAACGTAAAACCAGAGCATATTGACCAAAAAGACTTTAGTGGTTTCGTCCAAACAAAATGTTTTATTTAAGGTAAGATTGATTCTTAATTAAAAATTGAACTCGAACTTTTCAGTGGATAAAAACTTTCTTTAGCAAAATTAGTGTGCAAAAACATCACTAGTGTCAAAACCCCAAAGTTGGCAACCCTGTTACTTACAACCATATGTAGGACACAATATATTAATAAAAAGAAGAGAAAAAACATGGAGAGCAAAACCAAACCCATGGAAACAGAGTAAATAGCAATTTTTGCCGGATCAAACCAATTCAATTATATTTATCTTAAAAGAAATAATTCAGTTCAATTTCCAAACATTGAATTACTCATTAAGAAAATTTATAACTGACGCTATAAAGAGCTTCTTAACCATACAGGTTTGAGCTGTACCTATTCAATAGTATTGACAAAGGACATCAATAAAGCATGCGTCACACACTCCTGGAGTATGACGATCCAAATACCAGGTAATTATACGAATAATTACCTGTTACTTGAGCTTCATTGTGACTGAATATATGAATGCAGTATAGAAATTCTTTTTTCAATTGAGTGCAGCTTGTTCATCTAGCCCGAACTCAAAAAATGAGTATTCTAATCTATACAAATAATTATTGTGCGAGAAAAGCACCTTACTTGGAAAAACCTGCTTCTCTCTATGATCAGACAATTTGTGGATTGTAAAATGGGAAAAACAATCCAATGTGCAGACAAGAGAATAAAATCAGCCAATAAACCATGGTCGGATAGTATCAACTAAACCAAAAACTGCAGACTGAAAACCATACCATTCGATTTGTGTTTCACAAAATTGGGCCATCTAGGCACCCAAGAAGCCAACTAACGTCTCAAAGTGCACAAAATAAATTTGCCCCCAAATGCTACAGCTACTCACCTGTTCATGGTGAGCTATCCGCAACCAATCCATACATGATTCATTGACTCAGCTCCGATGATTGTCAATACAACATTCTCCTCAAGAACTCACCACCTCTGCTAAAACAACTTCAAGAATCCAGCAGCACAAAAGCTCCACAGGATGACATGCTTAGATGTTATTGCCAATCCCGGCAAGTCTGACATGTCCAATGTAAAGGATCGGAAGCTGATTCAGGCCAAGGCAAACAATGGGCATGGTACAAAACCCCACAAGTCCCACAAAAAAACTCAGGGCCAGGTTCAGTTTGTAAACATTTAGAACAAAAGAAATTGCCATCTCCAAATTCTTCAGGAACAGGGGTACCAGAATTCTCCATGTTGTATCCCAAAAATTCCCCAGGCACATCACCTTCATTATTCTGGTCCATGTTGTATCCCAATAATTCCCCAGGCACATCACCTTCATTATTCTGGTCCATGTTGTATCCCAATAATTCCTCAGTCACATCACCTTCACCAATCTGGCTGTCATCTGAGCGCAGCAGGTCATTTACATCGAAGATGGTATTATCGTTAAACATGTTGTCATCATTATTTACAAATTCAGAGTTGCTCAGCAGATTGCTGTCAAAATCAGCAGAGTCGTAATCTAAAGGTAATATCGAATCTGCAGGATTTGACAGGCTACCTGCTTCACTGTATGTTGAAAATTCGTCATGAAAAGGTATTCCTGAAACAGAACCATCGCCACCCCCTTCATGCTTAACATGCCTTCTCACAGGTAATTTCTGAGGCCCTGGCATAGAGAGAGTGTTCCACTCATCCGAATCTAAATTATTAGGTTCTGTAATCAGCTCAACATTTGCAAGAGAGAAAAGTAAAGGATCATTCTCCACAGGAAACACAGGAGTAGCAGGTTCAGACTCTCTCATATCATTAAATGCTCCAGAATCAGAATCAGGTCCAGAATGTTGCTTCTTTGAAGCCTTCCTGCGTGATTTCTTAACTTCTGACTTTGGTTTTGAATCGGAGTAAGGACAGACAGGTGATTTTATCCTGCGACACTTGCAGCATTTGAAGCCCAACACATCCGAAATTTTGGATTCGTCAAGTCCAACAGCTTCAGCATGATACCAATCTGTGAAAGCCAAACACAGAAGTCAGATGAGTGCGAACACTTAAATTGTGTCAATCATTTATTATTATTTACTACAGAAAACTTACTTTGGCATGTCTCGCAGCAAATATACATTAGATCTGACCTATAGTCATTTTTGCATAAGTGACAAACAGGAGACAAATCAGGTGTGTTTGATCCTCCCTTTAATAATATGTTTTTTATCCTAAAATCAATGTTTGTATCTTCATAACCTTTCCTTTTCCATATTATACCCCAAGAACAATTATTGTTGCGACGGTTGATTGATGCCGAAGTAGAATCAACCACGGCTTGTTTTGTGTCAGGATGACTATTCTTTTTCTTGGTAGAAGTCGAAGTTTGATCATGAGATTTACGCTTAGATCCTTTCAAACCTGACATGGAATTGACTTGTTTCACATCAGAATGACTGGCCTTTGGCCTTGGTCCCTTAAAAATAATCCCAGTCCCAGTGCTGGTTTCCTGTCTCTGTAAGATTAAGGGACTGGTTGGAGATTCATTGCTAGTTACATTTGGAGAAAGTAACTTGGCATGGTGACATCGTTTGCATGTGGTCAAGCACTCAACTCTCCCATTTGTAGAGAGTCTCAAGACTGAGCTTATGGAACAGTCCTCATGACAATAACCTAATGGCCATATGGAACAAAATATTTAAACAAGATACATTCATGAATTAGAATAATATAAAAGCAAATATACAAAATAAATTTAAATTCACATCCTTTTATTTTTCATGTTGGTTTTTTAAATTTTAAACATCAGTAGTGTTGTTTTTTTGTCGAAGCATGTGTATGTATCTAACTGAATTCTATCATATAGCAAATACTAGTTATTATTGCAGAAACTATGTGTGATTTTCACGTCAGGATTAACTTAGTATTAGCAAAGCATGATAATAGTAGGTAAGGACGATGATGGGTTACGCGTACATACCTTGACATGCATTACACTTGTGAGCATTCCTGAAATAAAGGTAGATAAAGATTATGGTCATGAAGAAAACAGGAGCAAAGAGGAGAAATTCATTAGTGAAAGAGTACCAAGTTAAGGGTAATTACCGAATTGAAATGGCCATCCGACATGAAGAGCACGAGAATGCCAAGTTATCTTTCTTGCAAACGAGGTAAAAGAATATGTTATTGCAGCCTTTGCAGGTACCTTTCAACCGCCTTCTATGCAACTGAGATGCACCACTATACTGCTCTTCACATGGAACCTTTTCATTACCTTCTTCATACTCTTTTACCAAATATAAAGGAATGCGAGTTTCAGAAAACCAATACTTTTCTTTTCCCAATGGGCCATGCTCTTTTTCAACAACACTTTTCATCACCCGATTAGGAAGATGCTTTTGGCTCCCAAAAGCTATTCCATAACAAACTTTTCCCTCTACAAGTTTTTTGTCACAAATATTTGCATTTCGGAAAGCAGAAGCTTCAGTCTCTTGACCTTTCCCTTCCTGTATGTTCTGCTCTGGACGAATCAGATCACTCCATCTAAGATAAGAATCTAGACATCTGACCTGATGAAAACGACCAAATACAATCAAGTCACAGGGCATGTAAGGTCCAATAAAGTTATTGCCAAACAAAATTCACTAATGCAAGATATAAAACAAATAACTATAGGGAACCTGGAGTGCCAGCTGTGAGGCATTCCTACTCATTTGAACTGCAGCTCTCCAAACAAGCTGTCTACTTCTTTTCGGAATTTCAGAGCCATCGGCATATACAATACCAGAAATTTTCCTAGAACCACCTGTTACCCACAATAAATAGAAATTAAGGTGATAAATTACCACAAACAAATAAGAAAAAACTGGCAAATTCTTTTAGTGGTATGTAAGGGAGGCATATGTTGAACAATTCAACAGGCACAGTAGGCTCAGCTAAACTTGCTTAGAACATAAATTATATCTGATTAGTATAGAATAACACTTAAATATAAGATAGTGACCACCTAAATATTGAGCTTGAAGGCTCATAACTAATTATATATACATAATTTCACATTCAATAAATATGTATATACATAATTTTACCTTCAATAAATATATATATATACATAATTAAATTGCAAAATATTTGGTATATTAACTAGAAAAAAGCAAATCATAATTCAAATCAAGCCAGGCGATTTTAGACATTGGTTTTACAACCTCAAAAGTTAATTTTAGCAAAGCTCAACTACATCCCTTCAGGTATTTTATGTGGTTGAAAATAAAATACCTTGGCGGGCTGCTTTTCTGACCATGGATTTCGGCAAAGCTGCATTCTGAAAAATATACTTGGTAACTTTCCCACCACGCCACCACATACCTTCCTTAGTAACATTAACTGTAGCTTCATCAATAGATGACTTCTTTTTATGCCGCCTCCCACTTGGTGCACGTTTCTGAGTTGTTCCAAGAGTAGATGTGGCACTTTGCATAGTGGGAAATTCGACCGACCAATCATCCATCAGCTTAACCCAGTCGGCACAAAAAGCAACGACTCGAATGTTCTCCTCAAGCTGAAAATGATGATTTATTAGGAGCTAAAATATGAACTACCAATGTTGCTCACATAGCACAAGCAATAAATATCACGATGTAAGATATTTTTAACACATGCTTTATAATAAATCTATTCGACAAGTATTAAAATACACATACAAAACCCTAAAGTGATTTTAACATAAAGCTGGCTCAACTTCTAACCAATATAAAATAACCAAATGCAAAACAGTCTAAAGGCCATCATAGCAAAATAGAATGTGATATTCATACAACAACAACCAAGCCTTATCCCACTAAGTGAGGTCGGCTACATAGAGAATGCAACATTTATAATAAATAAATAAATAACTAGAATATATCATATAACATTAAAAATAAATAAATAATAAATAAAACTAAACATTTACTCACTTTGAGTAGAAGTGGCTTGATAGCACTATATGTTGTGGCATGTTCCACTTGCTTACGCCAGTTCTTTCGAAAGCTTGCATTTGTGAAGGGGCCAACGACTAGACAATGTAAACAATTCTCCATATATAAAAGGTAGGTTGCAATGGTGCTAGGAAGAATTCCCTCTCCACTTCTTATAGGAGAAAAAGTAGCAAGGATTTTCACAGCACTTTTTGTCGCACTTATAAGAGCATGATTTAACATGCACCCTCTCTTGCTAGCAACAGGGGCTTTACAGGAAATGCACCAACCACACCTCTCTCTTGGAACCTCCACGAGCTTTTTTTCAGAACTAGGCCAAAAGAAACGTGAAGCTGCTAGTGAGAATGCTTTTGCTTGCATATAAGTATATGCTGATGCAGTTTTCTTCTGGCTGTCTGACGCAAGACCCTCTGACCTAGATTCCTCTGAAGAAACGATGGCAAACTTGGAAGCTGCTGATGCAGAAAAATCACCATGCATATAGTAATTTATGTATGACATGGGTTTATACAAGAAACCCATGTAACAAAAATCAGCATTTGCATTGTATTCACACTTTCCAAAACCTAATTGGGCACTTTCTTTGTTTTGCGAAGAAAAATTCAAAGGCAGCCCCATATCATTTGCATGGACACAATTACTTAATTGACTGTTTATCAAAGAGCACTTAGTGGCATCTACAGCAGTTGACATATTGACAGAATTCTGAAAGTTCAGGTTGGACTGATGACTAACAGAACCAGCTGAAATTATTGCCTCCATTCTAGTTTCCTCACCAAGGTTTTTATTCATAGTAAGGACCTCACTTCTAGCAATGCCACTGCTTTCAAGAGCAGGACTTTGAGTTATTATTTCTAAAGCATCAATAGAAGACACCATATTACTATTGTGAATCAAACTTGCAGTAGTTGGAGAGTTCTCTCCCTGGACCAAACTAACAGGCTTATGGTTGTCTTCGCTTGGAGGAGGAAGTAAAAGAGCAGGAAATTGTGACTCATCCTTTATATTTGTTTCAGTTGAAAGAGGAAGAGGTAAGAACTTTTCTGCAACATTCCAATATTGTAACACAGCCATGCAAATATCATAGTACATTGGCCTGTGTAGCATGGATTCATAAAGCACTTGGACAACTTTAGGGATGTCTTTCTGATTGTAATATCTAAGACAAACTTCATTGTTGTCAATGTTAAGCCTGCAACAGTCCATGTAAAAAGATTAAAATTAAAAAATGCAAGTGGCATAGTGGTAATGATTGTCTACGAAAAAATAAAGATTGAGCACAATTGCAATTCAAAGGTATGAAAAATAAAGATTGAGCACAAATGCAATTCTAAGGTATGAACATGGAATTGAACTTCAATTTACATTAACTACAAAAATAGCACCAGTACTGATCCTAGCATAACAAATGAAGGGGTAAAAGTAACACTAGAAAGATGTTGAACATACACGAGTAAGTGGTCGCATGTGCCCATGAAGAGCTGCCCATACAAATCCTTTCCAAATATTTCAGCCCCTCTAAGTGAGGTTCCCTTTGCAATTGTGGGCCCAGCCATGTTGATTTTGCACTCTGGACAATACCATGGTCCTTCTGGTATAAACATTTTCATTACACCAATACACCTTGAATGATAAGCAGAGGGACACCCATCACAGCAAAGAAGGGTTCCGTCCATACCACAGAGGCGACAATCATCTCCATTTCTATCAGCATCCCCATCCCCAGTGCTATCTATTTCTCTGCAATGTGAAATAGAATTACCAGGTTGGTTTACAGCAATTGATGCTGAAACCAATTTTATAGCTTCTTTATCCTCACAAAAAGAGGTCCTGGCATATCTTGGATGGACTTTTCTGGGGCCTGTTTCTGCAGGAAGGATATCTTCTGCATCAGAATCCATACCGACCTCTGACTCCTTTCGCATGCTCATTTCAGTTTTCAGCTCATCAGATTCCAAAACATCATCACAAAGAATTTGCAGTATCACTAACTTCCTACTTACAGGCAACAAATAATATTCGCCACTAAAAACCTCATCGTAAAATCCTTTCCATTCGGGTCCTTTCGTGAACCCATTGACGAACAAATACAGAATGACAAAAACAGGCCAAGTCAATGAATCGAGCATGTTCCAATCGTAGCACCTATAATAAATACATCAAACTTAATATCGTCTCAAAACAAACATGACACAAAGCAGAATAATAATAGCATAGAACATATAATCCTAAATGGGTAAACTAGAAGAACAAAAATCTTTGCAAATTAAAAAGTAGGCATAAACAAGTAAGTACCTAAGGCATTGTGATGCAAGCTCGGATCCCTCAGGCGACAGGGTTTCAAGATGACGCCTCAACACCCGCATCAGAGAAAAGTGAATAGCATCAAACAAATTATTAGAGAATTGACAATTAAGAGAACCAACAAAATCATCCAAAGTAAAGGGATGAAGAAACAATCGAGTGCTGAATGATCTTAAAAATCCATAGACAGAAAAAAGATGGGAGACACTTAGCTCCGGCACACCAATAGTTCCAGATGACGGTGGCAATAATGGCGGCGGTGGCAAAGACGCTGTCTCAGCCTCAGAAACAGAGACACAATCATCATCAGCCCCATCATCCTCATCCTTATCATTTTCAATTGATGATCCACCATTCAATTCACTAGGATCAGTCACATCAACAGCAGATTCCTCCTTCACGGGTTTTGGTGAACCCGTATCAGCCACATCTGCAGCCTTAGCCCTATTCTGCAATACTAATTTCTCTAATTTTGTCCTCCTCTTTACCATACCGGCGTCAAAATCAACAGCATCACTTACAAGAATCGGCCGGATTTCCCCACTCTCTAAATCCTCAAAGTCGCCGTCTTCATAAATGACTCTATATAGACCGCATTCATAACTCACTACTTTCCCTAGAAAAACACCATTCCTAGGGAACTTCTTTAGCACGTACCTTCCAACCAATGCAACTGGTTTCCTCTCCAACGCTTGCCTCTTAGCGTCGGGAACAGATTTGCTGTCCTTCTCATCCTCCTTTCTCCGTTTCCTCGGACGACCTCTCGATCTCGCAACAGGCTGCTCCATATCAATCCCAAAATCCAATACAGCGACACAGAGCCTTTAAATTTTGCTCAGAAACAATCGGTTATTGCCGCGAAAACGCTAGGGTTTACGCGGATCCTGCAAACGATTCGATACAAAGCAAATATATTTTAACAGTTCAAGTCGAAATCAAAATTTGAGATCGGAATGAAATCGATGAAATTGAAATGAAAAAAAATTGAGAAATCTAAAAAACTTCACAGGAAAAAATTGAGAAAACGAACCTGATTAGTGTACGAAGAGCACCAATGAAGACGGTGAATTCTCTGCTTCAATGGAAAACGAGGCGCTGAGAGAAACAGGTATAAGAACAAAAGGGAAGATAACCCTAGTGGCAGAAAATGCAGAGAACAATTTCTTCTGGAGCGACTCAGTGAACGAGTTTTAATATTCATTGTAATGTATTTATACTCCAGTTTTTCTCTCTTATTATTATTTTATTAATTTAATATTATGAGGACGAGTTTGCTTGTTTTTTGACTCATCACGTCCGAGTTACATCGCACCTGGTCCGAGTTAACTTCTTCACTCGGTGTCTTTAAGTTAAGTGCATTGCGGCAATGGAATTTAAAAATTTAAAATTTTGTATGTTGAGAAATGAAATTTGTGTAAAGTTTAACGGGATTATTGAAAGTTTATGTTCATGCTTAGAATTAACTTCGTATGGTAATTGGTCCTAGCTAAAGACAATGTGACATTGTGGTAGGATGGCCATTAGTTAGGATTTAAAGAAGATGTAGATACAAAAATCATTTTTTTTACAAGTAGATTTGATTAATGAATTTGAGTAATTTATTAATTCATCGTTGGTCTTTAATGGTATTCTTTATATCCTAATTAGAAATGTTTTTTTGATTGTTTTTCTCTTTTTCACTGAGTCGTTTTAGAAGAAATTATTGTTCTCTGCATTTTTTTGTCATTAGGGTTATATCTCCCTCTTTGTTTTTCTACTTATTCTTTTCTATGTCTCGTTTTCCTCTGAAGTAGAAAATTCATTGTCCTCAATGGTACTTTTTGTATGGTAATCAAACTTGTTTTCTCAATTGTGTTTCCTTCTTATGTTTTTTAGTTTTTTTTATTTTTTTTTTTCAATTTCATCTATTCACGGTCATTCTGATCTTGATTTTCCCTTTCAACTCGAACTATTAACGTAAACTTGCTTTATATTGAACCATTTGCAGGATCCAAGTAAAACCCTAACATTTTTGCAAGAAATCAATAGTTTATGAGCCAAATTTAAAGGATATGTATGTATATCTCTTTGTTGGGTTCTAGGATCAATATGGAGCAACATGTCGCGAGATCGAGGGGTCGCCCGAGAAAACAAAGAAAGGAGGGTGAAAAGGAAGGAAAAATTGTTCATAAAGCTAAGAGGCAAGTGTTGAGAGAAAACCAATGGCTTTGGTTGGGAGGTATGTGCTGAAAAAGTTCCCTATAAATGGTGTTTTACTTAAGAAAGTTGTGTATTACGAATGTGGTTCGTATAAAGTCATTTTATGAAGATGGTGATTTTGAGGATTTTGAGAGTAGGGAAATTCGTTTAATTCTTATAAGTGATATTGTTGATTTTGACGTTGGTTTGGCAAAGACGAGGACCAAATTAGAGAAATTAGTGTTGCATAATAGGGCTAAAGTTGTATTGTTTGGGATGCATGTGCTTAAAAAGTTCCCTATAAATGTTGTTTTTTCAAGAAAGTGGTGTATTACGAATGTGGTTTGTATATAGTGAATTATGAAGATGGTGAATAAAATAATGTACTGAGTTTGAAACCCATCAATTTTCTAATAAAATGATATCTTAAACTCTAAATGAAAAACAAACACATAAAATTAAAGATCTTATTGATAAGAATTGATTTTCCTTAAAGTGTCTCAAATTCTTCGCCTTATCATCTAAATAAATAATGAGTTTGTCTCGTTTATGTACATAGCTGAAAAGGACAGAATTTACAAAGTTAAGGTAAGGTACCATACGTTTATGAAGTGGAAAGAAAGAAAAGAAGAAGAGATATACAAAGAAGAATCGTAATACAATATCTGGAAAAAGATACATAAATTAAATGTTCCTAGAAATCAAATTTACATATTATGTGAAATCATCATAGATTTATGGAAATGAAACACAATCTAAGAGAAAAATGAATTACATGTCTTCTTTTATGTCATATATGTAGTTTGTTTGCTGAAACAATAAATCACATGTTTATGGAATAATTTGGACCATAAAAATGTTGAATACCCCTTCTTCAGGGATTCACTTTGAAAATAATAAAAACGATTTCAATCCACGGCTTATCAATTTCATTATAAAGGGAAACAAATCACCAACATCATTAACATTCACAACTATTGATTGTATTTGGTGGACTCAAAATCAATAATTTTTAGTAAAGAACAATACCTGCGACCCCCTTGCGCCTGTAAATTGATATTGAATCTGAAGGACTTCCAAGCTCCATTTGATCAAACCCATCTCAATCCTAACAAGGTTTCTCCGTAATTCATGTGATATTCATGAGAGAGGAACTTTGGTTGTATAATAAGGAATACTTGTGGTTTGTTGATGGTGATGACATCGTGGTAGAAATCTTGCCTCAAGGATCCGGCGGCGCCGGAAACCCTTGGAAGCAATTGAGATTAGGGTTTTCTCGAGAATTATGATTATGAGTGATTTATATGGAACTTGGTGTAAATGGTGTCGAAAATAAATCTAAAGGCACAAAGCGACTATAATGGATAATTGGGCTTTCTCGTTAGAGAATGATGGGCCGTGACTACACTTTTATCATATGTTCATTACAATCATATTACAAGAATGGATAATATATATATTACCTAAATATGCACTAGAAAATTTAATAGGTTTTTCTTTTAAAAAAATTAACTGACTTGGATTGAGGAAATGCCTCATTTTTTATTTGATTTGATGTTAAAGATCTAAAATGTGTATCACTTAAGTTCTCTCTAATTGGATTATTTTTCAAAAAAATTGAGAATGTTTTTCATGAAAAATCCCTATATGGTTATATGATGTTATTTATAAAAAATAAAAGTGGACAATTTGTATTTCATTATGACATAATTTTTTTAAAGCAATGTTAGAAAGGTTGAAGTAGAAAAATTTAAATGACTAAAGTAATGAAATAAATTAATATTAAAAAAACTAAGGTTTGTTTGATGGTCGAAAATTGATAGCATTGAAGACTCATTGAAAAAGAGGATAAATGATTAGAGTTTTATTAGGAATTACAAAAGTATCCCAATATAAAATTTTAAAAAAAAAGGTATAAATAGTTAAGTATCAAAAGACTAAATTAATACCCTCTTCAGTCATGTATCTTAATTTTGGAGTTCACTTTGATCCCTTGACTTAAAAAAATGTTTATATTGACCCATTAACTCTTCAAAATGGGTCAAGTTAGTCCTTTTTATCTAATTAGTAACAGATTTAGTGATCAGTTTTTGAATTTTTTTTCCATCGCTAATTAGTTAAAAATGACTAACATGGTATATTTTGAAGATTTAAGGGACAAATATGGATATTTTTTAAGTTAAGGGACCAAAATGAATATCGGGTTAAGATACGGGGCCAAAAAGGATATTAATGCATCTTTATTATCATGTTTTATCTAATATTCTCCCTCAAACTCATTATGCATTAACATAAAAAATCAAGAGTTTGTCAATCAAGTCAAATATACAAAGAGGGAGAAACAAACAACAATGTAATAGTGTCTTACTGAAATGATGGCATGTCAAGTGACAATCGATCTCAATGTGTTTGATACGTTTATGAATGGGTCAAGTTATGTGTAATTTGAATAGCACTCTTGTTATCATAATGTATAGGAGTAGGCTTAGAAATAAACATGTATATTAGAAAGAAGCCAATGTAACCATATCATCTTTAAAGTGGTACTTGTCGTAGCGCGACACTCTGCTTTTGTTGAATAGCGATATACAATGTCTTATTTCTTGCTCTTCCAAAAATACGAGGATCTCCTAGAAAAATACAAAATCCTATAGTGGACTTGTATTCAATGGGATCATCAGCCCAATCTACATCAAAGTAAGCGTGCAACTCCAAAGAATAAGGTGAAGGAAAAAGAAAACTGTGAAATTGGATGCTTCAAAGATGTCGAAGAATACAATGAATAACTACTCAATGCACTATAGTAGGAATACAATAAACTGGCTAACAACCTGCACTACATAAAAATTATATATCTAAAGGAACACCATAAAAAATGCATGTTTGTTTAAGAATATTGGAAATATACTTAGGTTGAGAAATAATATAGCCTCTAGTGAAGCATGCAACATCAATCCCCAAGAAATATCAAAGAGTTCCTAAATCCTTCATCTCAAATTGTTTAGCTAGTTGTGATTTCAACCAATAAAACTCATGAACACCATCACCTACAATAATCATATCATCAACATATGTGGATAGTAGAATACAACCATCAGACTTGGTCTTGAGAAATAAAGTAGAATCATAATCACTAGAACAGAAGCCAATGGATGTTACACTACCACAAAAAAGACATACAAAAACGGTTAAAAAAATATATTATCATGTAGGATCGGTCGTTCTTACGTAGCATGTGGTTGTATATGTGTTACTTACAATCATTGTCATATGACCGTTGTAGAAAACTAAAAAGCACGCTACCTATAATCACGGTTTTTTAAATACCGGTTGTGAACGGTTTGTCAGCATTTTTGTATTTTTGCCACATATTTTACCTGACTACATTTATAACTTTTTATCATAATATACAATATTAAATATTTTAACACAACAACATCAAGAACAACAAGATTAACAAGAATAATAAGAACAATAACAAGAAGAACAAGAACAACAGCAATAACAATAACAACAAGAACACCAAGAACAACAAAAATAACAATAAGAACGACAAGAACAATGAGAATAATAATAAGAACAAAAAGAACAAGAATAAAAATAAGAATAA